CTTTTAAAAGGTACACATTCTACCAACTTAAATTTTACTCTCCTGTTGGCTCTTATATAGGAGCCAAAGATTTTCAAATCCCAAGGAGTTTCTGCTACCGCAAGTCCATGAGCATCCAAACAAGGCAGGGAAGGGATCAGATTCCAACAGTCCTACAGTTACTTAAGACCTTAAGCCTGATGAATAAAGATAGGGGAAGAAGATGTCAGAATAACTGTTTACATAGAAACTGTATCATGCTAGCTATTGTAAATAATCTAGAGATGATAAAAAGTATATGGTAAGATATACAGAGGTTATATGCAAGTGCCACACCATTTTATATAAGAGACTTGAGCATGAGCATATTTTGGTATTCAAAAGCCATCCTGAAACCAGTTCCCCACAGAGATGATTTTATGTAACTCCTTGTCTTTTTCCTTACTAGAGACAGCATACGACCCGTGTATATGCCATTAAATATATTACAGATTTCCTCATATGATTTTATCTGATATTTGATTCTAACACCCTTGCCTCAACTCTCCATCTCTGCTGTGACCACTGTCACCCGTGTTCTCATTAATTCTTGCATGACTGTTTCTGATTTCCCTATTTCCTGTCTTACCCATTCAAAACTCCATTCTCACCCAGCAAGCAAAGCAATCTTTTTCTTAATTATCAATCAGATAGCATGTCCATGCTTATTACAGATACCCTTTTACACTCAGAATAAGTTCAAACTGTCATCTGTAACTCCTGAGTTGGCCCATTTTGATGTCTGTATCTTCATTTCTTTTCTACCTGTAATTTACTGCCCTTCAATCACACTAACCTCTCTTTTCTTTAAACTCAAAAATTGGACTGTTGTCATTGGGTGTTTGGACTTGTTATTTCTTCTGCCTATTCATGAAGCTGGCTCCTTAGCTATTCAAGTATAAGATCATATATCCCATCCTTAAAATGCTCTTCCCTGGCCATCACAGTTAAAGCCTTCCCTTCAATCTCTTATCACTCTATTGCAACTCTGTATTTCATTGTCTTTATCACTCATTTGTTATGCCTTCTCCTTTCAAAAATTTAATTTCATAACTATCTTCTTTAATGTTGTATTTCCAATACCTGCCTGGTAGAAGCATAGCTTACTAAATGGATGAATTCTTTTTGTGAAGGTGTAATCCTGTTAAATTGTTGCTCTTACAACATAGCTGACTGCAACTTTTTTTTTCCTTTAGTAAATAGCACAAACATTGGTTCTGGATTAAAAATAGTAGTAGTGACTTTTTCTTTTAAATATCTTAACATTATGCTTATTACTATTTGGGGATGAGTTTCAACAGGTTACATTCCCTTATATCCCGTGGGCCATAATTGTCTTGGGTCAAGAGAATTGTAATACACCTCAATATGTTGGAGACTTAAAAGTCCCAAAAAAGACAATAGAAAAACAGCAAAATTATCCAGAAGTCATAAGGTATATTACTACCTTACCTCCTATACTCAAGTGTATGTTCCTTAAATAAAGACTTGTCTTCCTAAATGGTTGCCAACTTTTTCAGCCCAGTTTATAACAATACATTTTTAATTTCATATCCCTTTTTGTGTAGAACCCACACTGCAAGGGTATTTTATTAAGTACTATTATCTATTAGTGTTCCTTGTTCTGACACTCTGCAACTACGTGATTTCATGCTCATTGTATGGGGCCTTTCTAATGAGATTATAATCTGCCTCCAAGGTCCTTCTTTATAACTCCTACAATATATTCCACAAGTTATGGGATCTTGGTAAATAGTATTTCTCAAGCCAAATCAGGGAAACCTGTGTAATATCCCAAGCCTGCTCTTCTGGAAATTTACTGTACACCATTTTCCTCTAATGGAAAAGTACAGCAAATCTCTTTTATAGACATAGCCCTAGCATATTGAATAGTTCTAGCAGCCTATAAACTCTTCACTACCCCTAACTAAATACTCTAGCGTTACTATACCAAATATCTAATTTAGGTTTAAAAATAATATTTGTTATATTTTTATATTATTAATCATATTCAAAGTGAAATTCAGGCATTTGTTGTGTTTTTGATTTTCATTAATAAGTAGGGTCACTATCTTTTCATATTTATAGTTACAGTGGGCTATTTAATTTTTGTTTGTGTTGAAATCTTGGTTTAGCTCAGGCTAAGTCTTTCTTAGCAACTAATCAGCCCGAGGTAATCCTAGATTGACCATCTATCTTATGTTTTTTTTATGTTATTATTTTATCTCAGTTTAATATTTGAGAGGTTGAAAAGATTTGTATTTTGTACATGCCGTATGTCTATAGCATCTCCTTCAAAGCCAAATAAAACAATAAGCATGTGAATGCACACTAACTACTACATCTCACTGTTTCTCCTATAGATTATTGTGTAGGAAGACAAAATTATAGCCAATGATAAATTATCATGACATTACTATTAATTTCCCTGGTAATTTGTTAATCTGATCATACAAAGTTTGATTTTGTATGCTTATTGTTTAGATTGTATCTCAGAAGACAGGTGAATGTTTTTCAGTGTCTTGTGGGAAGGCTCCCATTTTCATGCTTTTTACTTGCAGTAGTGAAAGAGCAATCCACCATCATAAGAATTTGTCAAGTTGCCACTCCAGAGATTATTCCCTCTACATATGTACAGTTATTCTGGATAATCCTTATCTGAGATTTCATGTTCCATTTTGTTCTAAGCTTTTGAATATTGTTATAAAACTTTCATTTTCAAGTAACACTTGATTAGCCTTGATAAACTAGATATCTGATTAACTGAAAGGGTGACATTGTTTGAAATGTACTAGAGGTAACTGTGAATTAGTTATTGATGGACTATTAGGAAGTAGATTACCGTCTTCCCTGTGAAAGTCTCAGTGCTAACATTTGAGGTATATTTATATGTTTAGAGCCTTTCCACACATGTTTTTGTCATCTAATCCTAGAAAATTCCCTGTCCACAAAAGATAGTGTCCCCTTCTTTTCTTGGGAGTATTAATGCCCACACTGCTTACGTGAATTACCCAAGGTCACTCAGTGAGTTGCTGGTGAAACCAGAAATAGAATTCAAGTCTCCTGACTCCCAATTCAGTTCTCTATCCTCGATGTAGTTTTCTATCTTCTATCCCCCTGTGCCTCTCATGGGAAAAGGAGTTAATCTTCCAGCTATTAATAGCCACCAAATTGGTGGTAGCTGCACAGTGGAGAAAAGTAACTGTCTTTACACTGCAGCATTAGTATAAAAATATCTGGTAATGGAAAATTTGACAAATGTCATGTTAAAGGGAGTGGAAAATTATTTTAAGATCTAGATCTCATTTATCTAGTTCTCAGAAAAGTAAAATTCCTTAGTAGAACAGGGATCATATTTTTCTTCCTGTTTGTAAATTGCATTTCCTAGAGGGTAATTGCCAACCTAACCATAGCAGAGCCTATTGTCAACTAACATAAGGATAACAAGTATACTATTGTGATTTTTATTTGTGTGTTTTTTAACTTCACTTAAATTTTGAATTGCTTTATTGAAATAAGTATCACTTGTTCTGTTTTCAGCATTATTTTGCTCAGTATTATATAGTTAAAGCGAATCCAACATCAACTGAGAATTTTATATCATGATTAAAAAGCATGACCAGGAATAACATATAGGTTTTCCTCCCACTTGGGCAGTATATTCTAAGCCAAGGCATTTTATGTCAGGCACCATGAAGTTTACCAGAATGAAGTAGACAGACTACAAAAAAATAATTTACCAAATGTAAGATAAGCACTAAGCACACTGGGAATTGATGAAGTTATTGTTATATGTATAGTCAATTCGTTACTTTGAGCATTAGTAAAAGGCATTTGAGAGATGTCTGTGTTCTTAAATATTTAAGCATTTCTAGTATTTTGGGAATTCATACTTAAGTTCTAACAAAACAATTTGTTTCTTAAATTTGGTCAAAGGACCTAGTAAAGATCTCTGGGTGTTTTGTTTCTGTAAAAGATTACTAAAGGACTTTAATCAAAAGAATGATAAAATCAGAATTATGTTTTATCTGTAAGTATAAGAAAAGTAGAATTCATAGCAGGTGGCAAATGCAAGGGAAGAAGACAAGGTTTGAAAAAAAATGTAATCATTTGAGCTCCAGATAACTGAGATAGTAGTAGTAAAAAGATAATTAGAAATAAGGGAAAATGTGGGTTAAAAGGCAAAGTCCTGCTCCTTAAAAAATTTACAATTACTGAATGGAGAAAGAGAGCAACACAGATGTTAGAGAAGTAGTAGGATATAATTTTGAAAAGCTGCAGAAGTAGAAGGCTAAATCTGAGAAAAGATCATCAAACTTGATGCTCCCTTAACATTTGGAAGGTATGCTTTTGCAGAGTGGTGGAGTTGAAATACTCTGAACTCTTCAAATTACATCCATTTATCTTCACTATTAAGTCTCATTTTTGCAAGTCTGTGAGGTATGTACAATAAAGGATGCAAACCAACCAACTTTAGCATGCCTGATTACTTACATATCTGATATCATAACAGATGCAATTCTTTCATTAACCTGGGGTTTTATTGGTTACTGCCATTCCTGTTAATTTAGACTATACTACCATTTAATTAGTAATAGAAACTGGTAATACATTACAGTAGAACAAGTATTAATCACTGTACTTACAAATGTTAAATAGCATGTTATCTTAAACCCAAGTCAAACATGAAAACAGGAAATTGCTTTTGGAATTTGTTGAAATTTAACTTCATGAGTACTCAATATCTCAAGATAGCTTTACCTGTAAATAATTTTCTATTATAGAATCTCTTCATAATGAGTTTATTAACTTGATTTTAAAGCTTAGTAATTAACCATGATTTCTTCCTTTTCAACTTATTTTTAAGATTTTTTTATCAATTGGCAGAAAAGTACTTTATTCTTAGTGATTTTTTTCAACTAATGAAATTATTGCAAAACTATTTATCCAACATTATTAATCTTTTTAATTTTACTGAACAGGCACATCTTCAAGTGAATCTAATCTGCTTAAAATTCCTCCGCAAAAAAGAACTCGGCGAAAACTAATGCCTTCTCCCTTAAGAGCAAAACATACTCAGAAGTCTACACTGTCTGAAAATATGCAGCTCAATGATTCTCTCACCAAAGAACTGCAACCTATTGTGTATACTCCAGAAGACTGTAGAAAAACATTTCGAAATCCATCTCCAGTGGCCTTACTGAGACCATTATCACATACTGCAAGTTTTGAGACCATAAGCTCAAATATAAATAATGATAATTCTCAAAAAATGTGTGAAGTAGATGTCCCTCTTAACAGAAGATCAGACTGTAGAAGAGAGGATTTGAACTGTACATTTACTATATGTGAAGACAACAGGAACTTGAAGAGTAAATACCCTGAAGAGGTATCACTACCAAACAACAAAACCATTTCACAAAGGTACAAGAAAATAGTATTTGCCATTTCTTCTTTTTGTTGTTTGTACATAGCCCTCAAACTATTAGCTTTCTTTTTCTTATTTTGGTATTTTGGAGATTTATTTCATAGTTCAAGTGTACTATCTTAATTATAAAGATGTTTTATTTATACTAAATCTTAATTATCTATCTGATTATGAATCAACTAAAGCAGATTCTATAAGCTTCTATTAAGTTTACCAAACTTCTCCTTTCTCTGAAATAGTCATACATCTAAGGTATGGTTGATGCACATCATTTAAGCGAACATTTATTTACATAATCACACCCAATCTAATTATGGGAAGAAAAATGCCTTCTTTGCAATGGGGAACATAAAAATGTCTTAACAGTATCTACCGGTGGTGTTTATAAAAAGAAAAGAAATCCTCAGGGCAAGTGAGGAAATTTGTTTATTTGTTTGTACTGGTATTTGAACTCAGGGCTTTACATTGCAAGACAGACACTCTCTCATTTGATATATGTCTCCAGCCCAAAGGGAATATATATATATTCTTATATATCAATACCAAATGGTTTTCTAATTTTTTACAATTTAATACAGGCATGACCCTTCTTCATTATCAAGTAAGCATTCTATGCCTGTATCCAGCATACCATCCTACATGGCCATGACTACTGCTGCCAAAAGGAAACGGAAATTAGCAAGGTATGATCAAACATAAACTGTCTCAATCTCTGCATAAAATCATCTTTACTTTTGTTTCCTACAACTATTTTATTTCTTATGATTAGTCTGTTAACTCATATTTAACCATATTTTTGGTAAGTTGCTCTGAATGAGGCACTGAGTTTATGTTATCAAAGGGAGACTTTGATGAAACCTAACTATTTCACTTGATATTTAAAGTATTCAATCTTTTAGATTATTAGAAATAAATTTTGAAAAGTCTTCTTGCTTTCAAAATGTCACCTAATTTTAACTTTCCTTCTGGTGACAATTTTTTACTCATTTGATTATTTGTCCTTTCAAACATTACTGAATTTCTTTCATACTAGAATTATTTTATTTTAATAGATTTTGATATATGACTAGAATATTATGAACTGGAGAGTATGCTGTTTCTGACTCTGACAGTATAGCTTGTATAAAACAAAGTCACTCACCAAGAATAATTATAATTGTAAAAGCTGAATAAAATATAACTAACAGCTGATTGAGGACCTGAAGAACAACTAAAGCAAACAGGACTTGAGGGTCTAAGATCCCAGAGAAAGGGCAGACATGCTATGGTGAGCAAACTTTCTCTGCCTCTTTTTGTCATTTAGTACTTATAAATTCATGGCATATGGCATAGGGACCAAACAAAAAATGGAGGTTTAGAGTTACCAGCAGTGTCATTGAGCTAGAGCAGCTTTTGCCCTCAAAGTTTGCCAACTTCTCAACTGGAATAAGAAGCCAAGAAACCAAGTGAAGGTAGCTGCTAAAAAAACAAAATTATTAAGCAGAATTTTGACACTCTTATGGAGCTGGAACATAAAAATTGGAGTTCAGGGACCATAAGGAAAAAGAGGGCCTGTTAAGAGGCACAGGTTTTTATTTGAAATCCTCAAAGGGCTATAGTCTAGGAGTAGGATGAACTAAAAATAAACCAGTTCTTAAAAGCCTGAAAAGGATTGTACACCAACTACCATCTCTACCCTTTCTTGGATCAAAGTGATCTAACTCTACTCTGCCTCTGGCCAAAGGAAAATTTAATATCTATGGATGAATATCCATGGATAGTTTTTCACATATTGTTTAGCATTTAATAAAAATTAATGAGAATATCAAGAGACACAGCCAAATGACTAGAAATCAAGAGAAAGGAAAAAATTTTTTAAAAACCAATGATTCATAAATAATGTAGAGATTGAGATTAGCAGATAAGAACTTTAAGGTTTCAACCATGGTTAATTTCAACAAAGTAGGTAAGTTTTTTTTTTTTTTTAGAATTTAAAAAAAAAACACCATAAAAGTGGATTTTCTTTCTCTCTTCTCACCCCCACCGTGGATTTTCTTAAAATGAATCAAATGGATATTCTAGATTGAAAAGGCATCATTTACTGAAATTAAGAAATTAATTTAGCAGATCAGTCACAGCAAAAGAGAGTACTAGTGAGTCAAAAGGTGAGTAAGTAGAAAAATATCCAAAGTGATGCTAAAATTAGAAAGATGGAAAATACAGAAACAGTGGAAGCGAGAAGAGATATATTTCAGAAGTTTGAAATACATATATTTTGAATCTGAGAAGAAAACTGGAAAGAAATAAGAAAAACAGACTGTATTTGAGGACATGAGAATGATGGCTAATCATTTTCTAAAACTGACAAAAGACATTAATTTTACATTAAGTCATAGATTTGATAAGTGCTGCAAGCCAAAAGCAGGATTAGTACAAAAAGAAGCATGCCTGAGTACATGGTAATGAAACAGTAAAAGCCAAAGGTATGCTGAGTTACATCACATGAAATTCATCTAACATTCTTTATATCCTACAAATTGAATGCAGCGACAGTGTATTCTGAATAAATACAAAATGGGTCTGACTTGCTCTGCCCCTTTTTCTTAGCCACATTATTATGGGAAGAAAAATATAAGACCTAACCTTAACTCTTTTTAAATCTCCTTATTTTCTACAATGGAAACAAATTTATAAATAGCATACTTATTCATGCTTCATGGAATATCTTCTCACAGATGAATTTAAGATTCCCCGTGTCCCTTTAAAACAGACAGCCTTAGAATGTATAAGTTTTACATTCATGAATTGATTTTTCTTGAATACCCCTAACTGTCCATGACACTTCAAAATTTGTTCAATAGTATCTTCTTACCCACAGTTTCATTTTCAGTGGTTTCAGTTACCTGCAGTCAACTGAGGTTTGAATATATTAAATTCCAGAATCAACAACTTATAAGTTAAATTTCACACTATTTTAAGCAAGATGATAAAATTTTGTGCTGTCCCTTTATATCTGACTACATTAATCACCCCTTTATCCACCATGTCCTCTCTGTATACAGTACTCAGACTTTAGCCATGTCGTAGCCATCTTGTGTTCAGGGCAGCTCTCACAGTAACACAGTGCTTGTTCAAGTAATCCTTATTTTGCCTAAGTTCTCAGAATCAAAAGAGTAAGAATGCTAGCAATTAAAGTAAAAGTGAAAGTTTATTGTAGATTTGTATCAGAAAAATCATAGCATATATTGGGTTTGGTAGTATCCATGATTTCATGCATCTACTGGTGGTCTTGGAACAATACCTGGTGAATAAGGAGGGACAACTACATTTTGCTAAGGCACAAATTTGAATTCAATTAGTCTAGCTTTTCATGAGTGAGCCTTGCTAACCACTATCATCTGTTCATCATTTTATCACTAATTTGTATTATCAATTTTGTCATTCTTTCCATTAATTAATGTTCAGTTCTCTAGTTCTCTACTCGTAGCAAGTGCTGTTGTCTTACTACACTGGCAAATGTTTATAGCTAAGAATAATCTTAAAATATAGACATGGTCATTATCAAACACATTATTTTTCAGAAATGTCTAGGTATGTGAATTATATACTTGGAGTAGTTTTAGGTGAGTTATAAGATTACCAGATGAGCAACTAATATTGTGAGATAATATTAGGGGACATGTAAAGAAAGTAACTTGGTTTTTCAAAGCCTATTAATTACTCTATTACATTCCTTCTAGTACCAATAATTAGATCCTGCCATTAACTAAGGTTAAAAGAGATTAATGCTAGAAATGTACATAATTACTTTTGTTTTATCTTCCTTTTCCCCCAATTAAAGCTACATGAGCTTGAGAGTAACAAACTCTGGTATTTTCCACCTAGTAGCTTTATATACATATTTAAGCGTGTATATGTTCTAATATGATTTTTTAAAAATAAAGACATCTCTAGGTATATTTATCTGTCTTACAATAATAATAATTTTCTGAAAATTGTACTAGCTTCCAAAATCACTGGGTATTCCAAAATCTACTAACCTAAATTTTATCTTACTACTTAAATGAAGATTTTATTTATTTATTTATTTATTTATTTATTTTGTGGTACTCGAGGCTTGAACTCAGGGCCTCAAGTACCCTGAGCCACTCCACCAGCCCTTTTTGTGGTAGGTTTTATTTTTTTTCAAGATAGGGTCTCATGGACTATTTGCCCAAGCTGGCCTCAAAACACAATCCTCCTGATCTCTGCCTCCTGAGTAGCTAGGATTACAGGTATGAGCCACCGACACCCAGCCAATTTTAATTTTCACAATGTATTTAATATCACTGGAGCAGATCACTTTGACTAGATGAATTAGCCTGACAAATATATAAATACAATGTGTTATATGTCAGCTTTTATTTACAAATTGTAATAGAGTTTGGGGGTTTTATTTATTTTGTGTTTATTTGGTTGATTGTTTTTGTTTGCTCCATAATCTTTCTAGCACCTACAACTGATCTTGTACTTGCTGTATATTTTTTGTTTGTTTTAAAAGATATCTAATAATTCCAACTAGAAATTATTTCAACTGGAAGAGCATGAAGTATATTTATTAAATAGAACCATTCAATTAGAGGTCTTCATATTTCTCAATATTCTCTTTAGCATAATTTGAATTTACACTTATGTCAATTTTAAGGTGTTTGATTTTTATGATCTAATTTCTAAATGGTAAACGTTTCATCTGTGGCCTGTTTTTTTGGGTTGTATTTGATTTACTTATAAATATGCAACTTGTTTTACTTGACTCCTAGAAATATGAGTTGTAATCAAGTATTTTTATTCAAATTTATTTCAAATAAGAGCATGCTATGAGTAAAAAATAAGGTCCTGGAACTAACCAAAGAAAAGAATCATACGATAAAGTAATAAAGACAACTTTAACATAAATTATCAGGAAAAAAGTTTTTGCCAAAATAACCAATGACCTTGATCTTTAATATACTTAATATTCAAAACAGAATCATACAGCAATTTTATTCAGCACAATTTAGGAATGAAAAATTTCTGTACTTGAATTTGTTCACTTGTATAACACATACGTCTTTGTAAACATTGTGATTAGATACTGTTTGCATTTTTTAACACAGTAAGTACAATTACCATTATGAATACTATAATCTTTTCTCTCATGGGACTCTTAGAAAAATCCAGGTATATCCATTGAGTTATTTTTTTCTGCATTCAAAAACTTGGCTATTTTTCTTTGGTATCATGGTAAATTAGCATTTCTGACTGTTTGCACTGAGCATACAGCTAATCCATGTCTTTGTTCCATAAATTTACACCCACACCAGTTCACCACATGATTCAGCTTACCAAAAAAACAAATTGTTGCCATTAAAGAGAAGCTACCAGTTGTTAATATAGCTGACAGTCAAGTTGGCATCAGTTTGTAAAATAGTATGTAGTGTCTTTATTACCCCAGAATTCTCCAAAATTAGCTTCTTTGAATCAGTATGGAGGAAGGGTATTCATCTTGTACTCATCCCTCAAACCTGTTTGTTAAAATTCAGTCCTCATTAGGACTAGGAACAATTGCTGTTTTTCAAAACCCAGATCAAACTTGCCACATCCACAAAACCCAAAGCTCCTTCAAGTCTGAAAACCTATAGCACTGGTTTTTTGGGGTTTTTTTCCCATTGTCTTATATCATGTCAAGTATCTGTCTTATTTTTTCCATATCTCTGCTGTATAAGTTTTCAAGACAGAGATTGTGCCACACACACACACACACACACACACACACACACACATCCTATAATAGAAGATTTGAACAGGTGTTTAATAATGTCAGCTCAAATTGAGTTAGAATTTGACCCATTACCAATGTAAAATTGATTAAATTTTTGAAGATAGAACAGATGAAAATAGGTCATTCTTTGCAGATTTAATAATTGTAATAGTCTATTACAGTCTTTAGTAAAAGTCTGTTACTATGTTTTTTTAAAAAATAGGCTTCTGGACAATACCACTTATTTACATTCCCTGATTAAAGTTCTTGCTTCATTTGGTAACAAGAACTTAGTTTTTCACCCCTTCTAAATATTGTGCTACTTGTCTCTACACTTTGAATAGCAGTACTCACATTTGAGCAGAAACCCTGGAAAAACAGTCAGCTACAGAATTGTTACATACATCTATAGTCATAATATGCAAATTAAATATACCTTATCTAAATCACACACAACTAGATTTCTTTGTGGGCTTCTGTGGTGATACACCCCTGAATCCCAGCTACTCAGAGGTGGAGTTGGGAGGACTGCAGTTTTTGGATAGCCCATTCAAAAAAAAAAAAAAAAAAGTGAGACCCCCCCCATCTCAAAAGACAGGCTGGGCATGGTGGAATACATCTTTAATTCCAGCTGTACAGGAGACAGAGGCAGGAAGATCATGATCAAGGCAGGCCCCAGGCACAAAACTTACACAAGACCCTACCTGAAAAACAAACTAAAGCAAAAAGAACTAAGGATGTGAATCAACTGGTAAGACCCTGAGTTAAAACCCCAGTGGGTAAGGGGAGGGAGATTTCTCTGCAGGCCAAAAATGTTTTTAGTGCCTCCAATTATTTCTATGGGATTTCACTGTTTATTATTTATCTATTTGATGTTTTATCACAGTTGTATGTAGAATATAAATTAGAATTTAGAGATTTTTTAATTCTTTAACTAAAATAAAAACTTTTCCTCTCAAGTTCCACATCAAATATGCCAGTAATTGATGAAGAAAATCATGGATTTGCCAAACGCATTCGACATGATAATTCAAGTGATAAGCTCTTACAAGAAAACAGACCAACAGCAGGTATGTCTGAACTCTTAATTTGATATTAATGTCATGATTATCTAATGTATATATAGTATTTTCCATAATGTCTTCATAAAAATCTCCTTTTATGTTGTGCTAATACCTTCACTATGTGGTAGAACAAGTGTGATTATCCATATTACAGATAAAGAAACTTAAGACACAGACGTAAAGCCCTTAGACAAGATCACACAGTTTACTATGTGTGAGAGAGAGCTAGAACTCAGAACCAGATCTTCTAACTTTATGTTCTATACCCTTTTGGTTATCTAGACTGCCTCACATTGTAGAAGAATTGGCAAATAATTTAGCTAACAATTGAAATAAGTAGCAAAATGTATTATAAACTATACCTACCTGAAATTTTTCTTTCGACCTATTATTTTTAATAGTTTTGGCCTTGGACTCACTTGTGTAATTACTACATGGGCGCCAGTTTGTACCTAGGTACAATCATATTGCAGCTCCCATTGACAAGTTGAAAATGATGCTAATAAAGGTGACAGTTTTCTCTCGCCCACATAAGAGAATGACATGGGTCCATGGTAACAAAAGCCCATTGGTTGAACTAGAAGTATATCATGCCAACTAGTTTCTAGACCATGATGTCTAGGCCTCTGTCTCTCTGACACTACAGTTCCTTTGACTTCATTCAAAAAATATTTATATACTAAGCATCCACCTTGTGTATGACCAAACCACTTTGGTTCCTTCTCTGAAGGAACTTAGAAGTTTCTGTAATGACATGGAAACTTACTTTTTTTCTTTCAATGCTTTTTATTGGAGTAACACAACTCAATAACTTTACCAAACTGTATTGCTGAGTGCCAGTGGCAGTTGTTTATGTTTTGTTCAATGGGAAAGACTTTTATAAAGCAAATTTAAAAATCAGACAATAAGGTACTAAAATGTAAAATTTACTGTGATCACTTGACTTGTTGTGCTGTGGTTAGTAATGATTAACAATATGCATCTCTAACTGGTATAGATGTGCACTTCCCCTATTTGACTCCTGGGAAAATTTTTCAAGAAATCTTAATTCTATAAAAAAATTATAAACATAAAAACTCAAATCATAGAAATTTTATCTTTCTAGTCTACTTGCTATCTAAGAATACCTTAAAATGCATCAAGTACCACATAATCAAGGAGTTGTGAGTAAAAATATCCCCAAATGAAGAAAGAAGCTCTTGCCAAAGAGGGAGAAAAAAATTAATACTAGGTTAGAGATTAAATTACAGATTGTTGAGAATAGTGGAACAGGCTACTAATATTTTAATGTATATTAGAGTATATAAATAAAAATATCCAAATGTAAATCAGAAACTACTAGAAAAGAAAGTAGAGAAACAAAATATTATGTCAAGAAAATATGTGCCTCTGAAACTAAAAACTAAAAAAACTAAATTTTTTTTGGTAACAGTACCAAAAAAAAAAATGCATGAACAATTAGACTAATCTCAAGCAATGTCAATGGCACCCTATCTAACCACACTTTGTTGAGTACGGGATCATTGCAAAGGCTGATGAAGAATCAGACAAATGGGAATGGATAGATAGAACACAGTGAGGGGTGGAGACAAAAAGAAAAGGCACTATGGAGTGTGTATTAGCCCTGTATAGCTATCCTTATCTCAACCAGCAAAAACCCTTGTTCCTTCCTATTGTTGCTTATACTCTCTCTACAACAAAATTAGAAATAAGGGCAAAATAGTTTCTGCTGGGTATGGAGGAGGTGGGGGGGAGAGGGAGGGGGCAGACTGGGTGGTAAGGGAGGGGGTGGGGGCAGGGGAGAGAAATGACCCAAGCCTTGTATGCACATATGAATAATAAAATAATACTAATAAAAAAATAAAGAACTAGAAAACAAAAACAAAAAAAAAAGGAAATACTGTCCCAAAAACATGAAAGTTTAAAAGCCCTGGGGAATTAATCCAAAGAACAACAAAAAAAAATAATTACATGAGAAAAAGAGGGAGCATTATAGAAGTAGTCTTTCATCGGTGGGAAGAAAGGAAAGTTAATACACTAGTTTACTCAGTGATTTCCCTTGATACTGTGTGTATACTAAAACATCAGTTTGCTAAAATGGACAAATGAATTTGATAAACAACTTTTAAACCCAAGGTATTAATGTTTCTTTATTGTTATTTAAATCATTTTAATTTACAACCATGAATTTCAAGAGCAAATGTTCCTTTTGTTATATTTTAAGTTTATGAATGATAAACTCTTTGAATAATACCACTTCACTGTATTTTTGCATCATTGTTTCTTCTTTAGGGCGTAAAAGAAACATCTCTAAAATGAATTCAAGCATGGTTAGAAAATTTGGAAGAAACATTTCAAAAGAAAATCTAAGATAAGTCAATTCACAATTAAGGAAAAAAAATGATCAAATCTGCTTTTAAAAGTTTGTCAGTATCTTTTCAGAAATGTATTTAAAATCTTTGAAAGAAGCTGTTTGCCCAAGTATCTTCCCCAAACAAAAACTGAAACTCTTTGTTTTCTTCTTTTGTATTTTAAATAAATGTAGAATTTCAACAAAAAGTTTGTGTTTTAAATTTCTGAAATATTACCTTTTAAAATCCCTAAGTCAGCATGGTGTCAGTTTTACCAGGATACACGTTGATTAGGACATTTTAGAAAATATTAGTGAGTTAAATTACACTTACTGTTTTCAAAATTAGGAGAATTTTTATAAGTGATAAAAATATAGCCCAAGATATATTTGATGTTCTATTGTGTTTTGATACATTGTTTTACTCATACATGTGACTTTCCAAAAATACTTTGATGTACAAATGTAGAAATACGTGCCCATAAAGTTGTTGCAAATCTTTTTTAATATTCATTGTGAATAAAATACTAATATTGTTCCTTGCTAGTTGATATATTAAACATGAAGATTTTTAAAGTGTTGATTTTCCTGTCTCATTACCACCCGTTACATACCCATTATATATAAAGTATGAGTTGGGTAGGTTTGTGTTTGGGATAGATTGAGATATATGATGCCAGAACCAAATCTGAATGCTTTAACATTCCTGCTGCCATAGGAATTATATGGAGCTGCCTTGTTTGGCCTGTTTTTGTACTGAATGCAACAAATATTTGGTTAAATGTACTTAATTTTGTGTACCACAGGAACCTTCACAGCGAAGCAAACAGCCATATAGCAACTAATTGAGACATTGTAAGCCTTTTAGTTTGTTATATTTTCTCTTTAAAATCTAATTGAGAAAGTATGAGATACAATAATCTTCACAGTTCCAACTCTGACAGAGCAGATTCCATATTCAGGATGTCATAAACCCCATAATTAACTCTTCTATTTTAATCCTTTTGTCAAACTATTTTAGATAATTGTATACTTGAAAAGAAATCTTTTGCCAGATACTGGTGGATGGCAAAATTGTAAGTCACATTCCTCATGGTCCACCTGACACCATAAGGTGTGAGTGATTTTCTTAGATGCCATTTTTATTAAGAGATTTTCCCTTTGTAAAAATTAGTAACTATTTTGTATTTCAACCATGTTAAGGAGCAACTAGGGTAAATAATCATAATGAATATGGGAAAAGTGTTTAATATGTGAATAAAGAGAAAGTATATGCATTTAAACTAGAAAAAGAGTACTATTCGATGAGTCACTACAAAACAGTGTGTTTTTATACATACGTATAATGGAGTATTCATCCATAAAGAATGAAATTATGTCACTTGCAGGAAAATGGGTGGAACTGGAAATCATCTCATGTTAAGTGAAATAAGCCAGACTGAGAAAGACAAATATCACCTGTTCTTTCTCATGCAGAATATAGATCTTAAAAGAAAAAAAGTGACAGTAGTGAAAAACAAAGACTATTTGGGCTAAGAATCAGCAGGAGGAACTGGGGGAGACAAAAGGGTAAAATACTTCATAAACATGTATGAATATAGATAAACCCATTAAAATTGTTTAAGGGATGATAAGGAAGGGTAACAGGATGAAAAATACATTATATGCACGTATAGAAGTATCTCAGTGAAACCCCTTTATACAATTAATGTAAAGTAATAAAAAAATTTTTTATTCATTTATTCACATGTGCATACATTGTTTGGGCCATTTCTCCCCCCAACCCCCTGCCCCCTCTCTCTACCCCCAACTCTGCCTCGCTTCCAGGCAGAACCTGTTCTGCCCTTATCTCTCATTTTGTTGAAGAGAAAACATAAGCAATAATAAGAAAGACAAAGTGTTTTTGCTAGTTGAGTTAAGGATAGCTATACAGAGAGATTCCTAGCATTGCTTTCATGTACAAATGTGTTACATCCCAAGTTGATTCATCTCTAACTGACCTTTTCACCACTTCCTAATCCCCTTCCCATATTGACCTCTGTCGCTTTAAGGTTTCTGTATTAGTTCCTCTGCAGTGGGGACATCAAATACTTTCATGTTTTGGGTTTCTTACCTATCTCCATACCTCCTGTGTGTGCACTCCCCTTATCATATGACCCAAATCCAAACACATTGCTGTGTTTGCCCTAGATCTAAAGTCCACATATGAGGGAGAACATATGATTTTTGGTCTTCTAAACTTGGCTAACCTCACTCAGGATGATGTTCTCCAGTTCCATCCATTTGCTTACAAATGATAAGATTTCATTCTTCCTCATGACTGAGTAAAATTCCAATTTTTTGTGTATAAGTACCACATTTTCTTAATCCATTCATCAGTAGTGGGGCATCTTGGCTGTTTCCATAACTTGGCTATTGTGAATAGCGCTGCAATAACATGGGTGTGCAGGTGCCTCTGGAGTAACCTGTGTCACATTCCTTTGGGTATATCCCTAGGAGTGGGATTGCTGGATCATATGACAGATCTATGTTTAGATTTTTAAGAAGCCTCACAATATTTTTCCAGAGTGGTTGCACTAGCTTGCATTCCCACCAGCAGTGTTTGAGGGTTCCTTTTTCACCACATCCTCGCCAACACCTGTTAGTGGTGGTTTTGATGATGGCTATTCTAACAGGGGTGAGGTGGAATCTTAGTGTGGTTTTGATTTGCATTTCCTTTATGGCTAGAGATGGTGAGCATTTTTTCATGTGTTTTTTGGCCATTTGAAGTTACTCTTTTGAGAAAGTTCTGTTTGGTTCAGTTGCCCATTTCTTTATTGGTTCATTGATTTGGGGAGAGTTTAGTTTCTTAAGTTCCCTGTATATTCTGGTTACCTGTCCTTTGTCTGATGTATAGCTGGCAAATATTTTTTCCCACTCTGTGAGTAGTCTCTTCAGTTTAGAGACCATTTCTTTTGTTGTGCAGAAGCTTTTTAGTTTTATGAAGTCCCATTTGTCCATACTTTCTCTCAGTTGCTGAGCTGCTGGGGTTCTATTGAGGAAGTCCTTGCCTATACCTATTACTTCCAGAGTGTTTCCTGCTCTTTCCTGTACCAATTTCAGAGTTTCGGGTCTGATATTAAGGTCCTTGATCCATTTTAAGTTGATACTAGTACAGAGTGATAAACCTGGATCTAGTTTCAGTTTTTTACAGACGAATACCACTTTTCCCAACAACATTTGTTGAAGAGACTGTCTTTTCTCCATCATATATTTTTAGTGCCTTTGTCAAAAAGAAGTTGGGCATAGTTGTGTAGATTCATATCCGGGTCCTCTATTCTGTTCCACTGGTCTTCCTGTCTGTTTTTGTGCCAGTACCAGGCTGTTTTTATTGCTGTTGCTTTGTAATATAGTTTGAAGTCAGGTATTGTGATGCCTCCAGCATTGCTTTTTTTGCTGGGTATTGCCTTGGCTATTCGCGGTCTCTTGTGTTTCCAAATGAACTTTAGGGTAGATTTCAATCTCTGTGATGAATGTAATTGAGATTTTGATGGGAATTGCATTAAACATGTAGATTGCTTTTGGTAGTATAGCCATTTTTACTCTATTGATAAAAAAAACTTTAAAAGTTATTAATTCCTCAAAGCCTCCCTTGTACTTGCATACACCACCTCCCCTAAAGATAACTGCTATTGTAGTTTCTAGCAGCAAAAATTGCTTTTTAACTAAAGTCATTTGTTTTTATTAAAGCATAATATGTTGCTCTAAAAAATGATACCGCATTCTATAAAAGGAGACTACCACCTCCTTTCCTTACTCCCTACAAGTATTCTCAGATACAACCATGTTAGTAGTTCAGGTACTTTACGAAGGCGTATTTCATATGCAATCCTATGTGCTTTTTTTTTTACAAATTTGAATTATATTGTTTTGTGATTTGCTTTTTTATTCTCACTTTTAAAAAGTCATCATGAACATCCTTGTAAAAATTTTAACTGAATTTAATAAATACTGCTATGACAACAAATAACTGCATCCAGTTATAAAATATTTCTACATTTGGAGTATCCAGTTGTTCATTTTCTCCATTTTGGTGAAATATTTAATTGCATCATTTCATTACATACTTGCTTGAGAATGTCACAAATATGGCCATTTTTACATGTAATACAAAAACTTCCAATCATTAAAGAGCTAGTAATATCCTTAAGAATATACTGTATACAACAATGTATAAAATGTATAAAATTAACAGGTGATTAGAGAGTAATGCTACTATGGAGTTAATGGACTGACTGTCAGGAGAGTCCTTTTACTTAACACGCTGAAATAATCATTTTCAGTACATTAATACAACTCCATCTTTATTTTATTAAGCCCTAAGCAAAACATTTTGTTTTATTGTATAGTAGCATTTTAAAAGTATTATATTATGTTTTCCTAGTTTTTAAAAAATTAGTTGAAGAACATGCTCTATGTGTCTGGAAGTTATACTTTGCTTAAATGCCAAAATTATGTTGCAATAACAGTAATGTATTAAAAAAAAAATTTACTTCCTCACAGTTTTGGAGTCTGGGGAATCCAGGACCACCGTGTTGGCATCCAATGAGAGCTTTTTGCTGCATAATCCCTTGGCAGAAAGGCAAATGTGGGAAAGAGTAATGGTTGACAAATCAGTCCTTGTATAAGGAACCTGCTCCCCCAATAACCGCATTAATCCATTCTTGAGGACAGAAGTCACAAGACTTAATAGCATCTCTTTAAGTACCACCTCCTTATTGAGGATTTTGAGGAGACACATTTGAAACGACAAATATACACCAGTGTAATGTACAACAGCCATACTACAACATGGCATATATGTTTCTAAAACTCAAGATGCAATGAAGCAGGATATGGGAATAGTGGGTTTGCTGGCACACCACCTGACAAACCTTGTCACTAACATTAAAAGCAAAACAGTCCAATAACAATAGCCCAGCTGTACACATTAAATGCTAAGAATTTAAATGTGGCGTGTTCCTTCTTGAAACTTGACAAAAATTG